CTTGGGCAAGGACTTGTTAATTCCTAAAGTATACAGTTTAAAAGCCTTTTTATAACAAACCCTCATTTTTACATATAAGCTTTGTCAGCTTATAGTTTTCCAGAACCTATGCCAGTTTGACTGTTTAATGTTAAACATTTTTGCAGATATTTCTTTATAATGTGATCATAGAGAGAACTATTTAGAACACTTTTCAAACATATGGAAACACTTTGTTACCTGTATGTGTGTCTCATAAAGAGTAGAAATCTCATTTAAACTTCTTAAGAGAATTCCTTGCGTTTTGCCACCGAAAAGTTTTACTAAGAGGTGGAGAAAGGAGCTTAAAGGTTAGCTGAAATATAAATTAGAAAAAGTGTGCGTTACAACTGGATGCAGATCTAGCATTATTTTAGTCTTGATTTGTCTACTTAGGGAACTTTTGAAAAGATTAAAATGTATAGGACTATTTTATGTGTTTAGCTCTATGTGGAAAACTTCACAATGGAGATACAAGATATAGAGGTGAAGTACCAACCCTCCCAACCAGTACAACAAAACAAACAAAAAACACCCCCCCACAGAACCCTATGTCCCCCGGCTAGTTGGTTGTAGTACATTGTTGCTGGATGACAAAACGATGCTTTAAATAAATATCCTGCATACCTACCTAAAGTCCTGATGAATATCCTTATGAAGCATGCTGATCAGTCATTCAGAGAACAATATATTCTGAAGTACAGGATGGTGATATTGTTCCACTGTTTCACGAGATAAAGTGCACCAATGTGTCACTTCTGAGACCCTTGTTTTGGTTTCAAACCTTACTTTGATAAAGCATTTGAATTATCCTTGTTTGGTGGGTGGTATTATCTTGCGTTAAATTGGTTGCGACAGCATCATATGAACATTGGCCAGGAAGGGTCCTACGGTTCTCTGTAATTGCAGGGAAATGCATCCTATAATTCCTTTCTTATCTGCTGACAAATTGCTAAAAAGCCTGTGGATCTGGCAGTTTGTTTCTCCTGCTTGAGAGTACAGTTCTCCTAAGCCAGAGTAAAGGCCTTAGCAAGTCTAGTTGGAAGTAAACACAATATTATTTTTTGGTATTGGAGTCACAGACCAGGACTCCACTGTTTTAACCACAGCACAAACAGACCAGAAAGGCTGCATCTGCTGGAAAAACTTAGGCTTTAAGAATAGAACAAGGAACAATGGATACGGGCAGACAGACTGCTGAGGACAATGAGATAATTACTGATGGTCTCAACACACCAGCAATCACTGTTAGCAGTTGGGATTTATACAAGTTAGAATTAGGAGGTGAATGCTTTACAGGCAGTCCTCAGACTTACGACACAATTGATTCCTGAAAACTGTGTCTTAATTCAAAACGTTGCGACTCAGAACCAATTTTCCCATAGGACACAATGTTATAAAAGGGGGCTTGGTTGCTGAACCAAGGCCCGATACGCTGTTTACACCAAAAATAACACAGAATTTTGTACTCAATCAATTATAGATGAGTAATATAGCTACATTAATGTGCTTATATCGTAAATAGCAATCATTGATTTGGACGGACTTCTTTGAGATAACTTCTCTGGACTTTCTGAAGTGCTCTTGGTTGGACTTTTTGAAGGGTTCTTGGCTGGAGTCTTCTCAGGAGTCTTGGCTGAGGTTTGTCTGCTTTCTTAAAGAAAATGTTTAAGGAAGTTTGGACAGATGTTCTCCAGGCAGATGGGCAACGCAGCGAACTTGTTCGCTGACATGGCCTCGCTTCGGATCAAGCGTTGTAAAGTGGAAACTGACGTCAGGGTTGAAACAGGATGTCAATTTATAAACGTTGTAAGTGCGGAATGTTGTAACTCGAACCGTTGTAAGTTGAGGATGGCCCGTATATCAAAATATTGTCAAATAACATGTTTAACATATTTTGAGTCCTTTTCCTTGTTCCCCTTTCTGTCGGTAGACTTGATGCTTTACTTTTTTTGACTCTTTTTTGAATGAAGGCCTAGGCTGTATGGGGAGGGATTGCAGGTGAAAATCGTTGTAAATAATGGCTTGTGCAGTGGAACATGGCCTATGGAAGGACTCGGTTTTCCTGTATGAACAAGCCATGGGAGTCTGGGCTTTCCTGTTTGAACAAGCTGTGGAAGGGTGAGTTTTTCAGGCTTGTAGGATGGCTCAACGTCATACCTAAGAAGCTGAATATTTTCAGGGGAAAATCGTCTGAAATGGAAGAGTGGGTCTGAAGAAAATATGGGAGATTTGTTACTGAAGAGTAAGCACATCCACTGTGCGCCTAGGAACATAATTTTGAGACAAATAAGGTATGTGTGGTAACGTAGTATGCAACAGTGTCGTGTCTTGTGACTTGTGTAGCCTCACAGAGGAAGTCTTGGGCAGAGGCACAGAGAGTTCAGTTCTCCAGCAGTGTCAGCTGCCTTAACCATGAGAGAGGTCTTTTGTGGAAATTCTTCACTTTGTTTGCTGTGTAACTTCCAGCTTCTTCCGCAATTTGGACAGAATTCTGCTGACAGCAGTCTCCTTACTACCCAAACCGGATCCAACCCTTGACCAGGTTCATCAGTGTGAAGCAGTAGTCCTGCAGGAAGAGATAGCAGATGTGTGTGTAATTAAGCACTATTATAAGCGTGTGCAACTGTGGGGGAGGGGAAGAGTTGAATTAGGACCACTCAAGGGAATATTGCCAGCAATTCTGTTAACGTTTGAGTTCTTGACTTCGCAATCTTCCTCATTTTTCATCATGTTGTCTTTGAGCATAATTATAATTTACCAAATAAGATAATGGATGCATTTCTTCCTTAAAAGTGGATAAGCAAATTAACCTCATGTAAATACTGGTGCCTCAAGTTACTTTGAAGTAAATAGAAGGTGAGTGCGTTTTTTACAAAATGTCAAAAAGTTGTGTAGGTTGTAGTTTTGAAGAGCGTCATCCTTCACGCTTTTCTGTTTTCAGAGAAAGTAATTAATATATAAAAACACACTTAAATAGTACAACATTTTATTTGAAGATTTAGTTTAAGATTGTGTTTGGTATAACCCATTCTTTTACAGAAAATGAGAGCCACTCCATTTGAAATAAATTGTGGTCTGACAGTGTATAATGAAGATTTGATTTTGGTAGAAGCCATGTTTCTTGAGTAGTTTCATTGTATTTACCTTAAAGCTTATTTAAGTATATGGAGATAATATTTAAGCAAAAAAATGAAATGAAAATGAAAAACTTACAGAGTCTGACTGTGTATATAATATTTCTTTGTGGGAAGAATGTATTGACAGTGAAACCTATAATGTTTAAGATGGGTTTGTACAGCACCTAGCACAATGAGCTTGTGATCCACTAGGGTTTTTAGGCTTTCCAATAGTACAAATACTAAAGTAGTTAGGAAGGAAGAAGTCCTGAAATCTTAAATCAAGATTGGGCTCATGAGCCCTGTTATAACCAGATGCTTTGTCTTTAAATAAATAAATAAATAAATACATAGTATATTGAGCAGTCTTCTGCTCAATTTTCACAGGTTTTGTTTATGGCGTTAGAAATCTGAGATCTTTATTGCAATAATTTTATTCGGCCTCTAGCTATTTCTGGACTTTCATTTTTATGACAGAATCCATATCCATTATGTTCCAAAAAGTTTCATAGCTCAATACGTAACTCTTCTCTAATAAAACTACTGTAAATTCCAAAGCCAACCCTCACAGTCTTTTATCGTTTGTACAAAGTGTCCCCAGTGCCTTTAGAAGTTCGGAGCACAAATGTTCAAGTTGCAAAGACATTTACATATATATGACTATTGTACAGTGTATGGTTTACATGCTAACAGCCCACCTGTTCTAGATAGTAAAATAAATGGTGAATAGCTCCAGTGTGTTTTCCATTAGCATGTGGTGTACTCTATCAGCACAAATATTTTTGTGACTAAAGGGGGTTCAGAGTAGTGAGAGATCTAAGCAGCTGTATCTTCTCATTTAAAGATCAGAAACTTTTTTCCACACAGAAAATGAATTGACACTTTCTTTTAGAAAGTGTTATCCTCTTACAGATACGTTTTAGCTGCTGCAGTCAAGGAGCCCATCATTATAGTCCTTCTAGGCTCACAGATGCATCCATTTGTATGTTTAATGAATGAAGTTGGGGAAAAGGCTTACTGAATACTTATTTCATGTTATTACTAGGAGAAAATTAATCAAATTAAAAAGTCTTTAATAAAAATTACTCATGATGCTAACATAGTGATGCTGGTAACGTTCTGCCTGATATGCCTTAGATCCAGGGCTTGGTCCTTTTGAGCAGTTCTCTTGTTTCCAGTGCTGGCAAAGGGTAGGGCTGCTGTGAAACTAGTCTCTGAAGTTTTGGAAGTGGAAGGTGAAGGAAGTACCTTTAACATGGGAAGGGGAGGGGTTTTCTCTGTGGGTATCAGCAAGGTGTCGGATGTGGACCTGGGATATCTTTTCCTTCCCAGACATTCAGTCTTGGGTTAGGTTAGAAATGTTTTCTATTGGTTTATAGGAGGGTTTATGTATTTCTGTGCTCTTTACTAGCATAAAGTGCAGTTTTGAGAAACTCCTCAATTTTTCTGGTGTCACCTCAGTAGATAAGATATAATACCCTGGTTTAAGGAGGCACTGCAAGGTTTATAATGTGTTTTTAATCATTGTGGGATGCAAGGCATTGATATATGGTACGTTATAGTTCTTGGACAATGATTTATGTATTTACAGAACTCTGTAAATAATGTAGGCACGAGTTATTAGTAACAACTGCTTTAGGGTCTTGGCTACTTTAATGCTTACATGTTGGAAAACAAACTTGTTTTGTCGACAGCTAACTTACTGTGGGTTAATCTTTTTGTCCTGAGCTGCTTCCTAATCCATTGCTTTGTTTTCAGATGTGTTTCCTGTGTTGCAAAATAATTATCTAAGATGATTAGATGCTAAACTTGAATACTTCATACAAGACGTGTTTCTTTATTTTTTTGTTTTTCTGTTTTCAGGACTTAAATATTATCTATACTTATCTTCATGGAATGGACATATTGTCACATCTCAGGGAACAGCAGCTAAGGTAAGGGTTGTGTGGGATAATTGGCATTGTCCAATACAAATGATATCTAAATGCATTGTATGTTGAAAACACTCTCACTTGTGCATTGGAATGATTTTTGGCTTATGTTAAATGGAAGGCAAACAAGACAAAGCACAAACAAAATTGTTGGAAGTACTTCAGTTCTTACAGTTTTGTTGCTAGGAGTAATTTCAGTGCGTGTAGGAGTGCTTCAGAAACACTTGAAGAATGTGTTGTGCAGTATCTACATGGATAATAAAAATGGAAATTAGGTTTCAGCTTTATAGTTAAGGATACTTTTTTTTTACAGGAAAAGTCAAACGTCAAGTGTTGACTATCAGGGAAGTTTCATGAAAGGGATGTTATTACTGAAACTATTATTTCTTTTTAGAGTTTAAAATTGCAACTACATTTGTTTTTCTTTCTCAGAATAATGTCTTCAAGTGCCCGCTATGAAAGATACAAGGGAAACCAAGTTCTCTTTTGGTATGTAGCTTTAAGGTGTTAATTTTTACTCTCCCGGGGAGAAATATAAGACTGGTTTGCTTGTTAGAACATGTTTGCACCCTTAGTTTTGGGGTAAGTGAAAAATAGAAAACTGAGCAGCATTTAAAATTGATACCATTTGATTATACAGCCATATGTCATTTAGACAATGCGATGGTTACACAGATAAAATAGGGTGTCATTTCTAGAAATGCCCATGGAAGTTAGCCACACAACTTTTGTTGAAGGAGTAGATGTACATATGCATATTTTAAATGTGTTTTTAAAAAATGTGCAGGTTGTAGCATGTAGAAAACCTAACATGGTTTTTGGGACTGGTATTCATGATTCAGTAGATGGCACTCTTCCCTTGATGTTGGTACTTGAACTTGCCAGGGAGTACCGGTCCCTTTGGAGGAGCCAGCCCTCTATCTGAATAGTCTCAAACCATGGGCTCTGATTGCTTTTGGAATTTTAAAAATCCCTTATGGCACCTTACCCAAGACTAGAGAGATTTAATTCTGAGCTCCTTCTTAACTTCCATTTTTTTGATAACTATTTTACTTAATTTTTTTCCACAATTCGTTGTTGGATATTGTATTTTTTTTTCCTCACAGTCTATGCTAAACTTACGTAATGCTGTGTACTAATTGATGCTAAAGAATTTGGTGTTGAGATAAATGATTCGTGCATATAAAGATTGCAGTTTGCTTTGAGATGGAAGTGAGTTTACTTTAAGTACAGTTAAACATAATTTTTATTTTTAAAAGTTTGTTTTTCTACTAGCTCCAAATATGATACTGCAAGTGGTAAATTTTAGCCTAAGTTTTCTGCAGATCTTTCCGCTGTGATATAAGTAATAACTTTGAGGCTGTGCTCTAATAGTAGTTGTAGTAATGCTATAGTGCTACTAGTATTTTTAGACATCCTAAAACTTCAGTGCAGTTAAATATGAGCTTAGATACATTGGTCTTACCTGATGCACTGTACGTTTTGTATTGCTATCAATGATTTTGGTTTTTTTTATCACAGCTCAGAAACAATCGCCAGATGTTGGTACATTCTTCTTTCCGGATCTGTGCTTATGAAAGACTCCATGTTTTTACCACCATGCAGGTAATGTGCAAGTTAATTTTTTAAAAAGATTGCAGCATTTTAACATAAACACTTCCTTGTGTTTGTTACTACTATTTTAATTACTGACCAAGTCTAGAATTCACATTACTTCTCATCACTACTCATTTTGCTTATATTAGGTAACGGAGGTCAGTTGAGTTGCTTTATTTTTGTTCTGGCAGATCTCCCTATCATGCTTCTTGCATTGAAGAGTTCATGTAGTACTATCTAAGAGGCCTTTTGGTTTAAAAATCCCCCATGTTGACTGTTTCCATGGAAATGTTTCCATGCATCTTGGCTTTGTAACAGCTTATTTTCACAAAATCAAATTTTGGGTGCTACTACCAGGAGAATGTGAATTTGTTTTAGTAGGGTAGATCTGCACCTTATAGAGTAACCAGATTAGATGGATTTATCTAGCACAAGCTTTTGTGAGCTGAAGCTCACTTCATCTGTTGCTGTGAAAGGACATGCCCAAAGCAGTGTATAAGAAGATAGACATTTTGAATACAAAAGGCAGAAGGAGGAAGGAAAGGGGGTCAGTGCAGGGAGAAGCAAGCAAGCAATAAGAAGACCTACAGGAACAAAGGAGTTATGAAAACTAATCCAGGTAATGGGATAAGAATCCACAGTCCCTGTTTACAGCATACTTAACCCAGTTTGAGTATGATTTCTTGTTCTGTATTTTCCCATTTGAATCGGTTTTTAAAAGCTTACTGCCTAAGAACAGCTACACTGAAGTTAGTGATGGAGCGTCCAGAGGGAGGTTGAAGTGTTCTGCAACGGGCCTGCTTGTTGTTCTCCAGGTGATGTCAGATCAGTGTTCATCCTTTCATGTAGGGATTGCCTCTTCTGTCCAATGAGGACAGTGGAGAGACACTGAGAAGGTGACATATATGACTTTGGTAGAGTTGCAGATGAATGAGCCTTGGATGTTTTAATCTGTGTTGTTATTTGTTGGGGCACAGGAAGCATCTGGGAATGTTGTGCGGTCTGGTGCCTTGGTGAGATGGGGAGTTAGGCAGCCTGTTGCTTGAGAGACGCTGTTTGAGCTTGGGGGCTTGCTTGTAAGACAGGACAGGTACTTTGAGATGGTCATTCTTTTCCAGGAGGTCATTAATGATGCGTCTGAGATGTTCAAGATGAGTTGTAGATGACAGCCAGAGGGACTTGGAGCACAGTCCCAGGCGAAGGACAATCGCATGCGACTTGATTAGATTTAACAGCACGGCTTTTTATGAAATTAGAGGATAGAGACCAGTCATGTCACTCTCAGTGAAAAATGACAAGTGTCATTGTGTTTCAGTCTTGGAGCACCGCGAGCACATTATGTGACATGTTTTAACTGGAACCTAAGAGTTCACTTCAGTTAGGCCTGGCTCTGCTGTGATACTCTGCTTGACCTTGTATGTCATTCTGTATTTCCCTTCTGTCTTCTGAAGGCATATTTAGTACATTTGTATTCATGCTGCTTATTCAGGAATTGTAGCTGAAAACTAGAACTCTTGTTTAGAGGAAGCTGTAGAATTAAATTGGTGGCTCTATGGAGACGCAATTTGACTTTACCTGATACTCTTTATGAAAGTCATTAATTTCTTTGTATTTTTTGGGATCTATGGGATGGGAAAGAGGATAAGTTATTTTTCTAATTTACATGGCTATACGAGAGCTGTTTTAGCAGATTGTAGGGATCCTGAAGAGTTCATTTAGAAATTGCCTGATGCCTGAATGAAGTGATACAATGACAATGCAAATTTAAAGAGAGTACTGCTGTGGAAAATGTCAGAACGAGCCCATGAAGGCCATGTCGGTATGCTATTAAAGTTATATTACTGTTAATCCTGGGAGACTCTCTCTCTCTTTTCTTTTTTGTTAAACTATTCTGAATGTAATGAAAAAGAAATTTCTGATATTTCTAAGGCCTGGTTATTTCACAGGTAGCACTGTCTGTTTTGTGAGTGCTAATACCTGCAAGATAGACTTCAGCTACATGCCACCTCCAGAAAAGCATTAAATAGTTGTCTTACTGATTTAAGAATTCATTTAATTCCATTAATTAATTAGAAATATGTTACCCCCCTCAAAGGGCTAAGGCTGTTTACAGTAAAAACCAAGATAAATTATAAAACCTGATGAATTATTAAAATAAAAGAGTGTATAATAAAGCAAACTCTCTGAACAATGATGAAGAATGGCCCCTCATTGAAAGCTTGCCCAAAACAAAAGGTCTTGTATTGCTTCGGGCTGTGACAGGGCACACAGAGGAGGGAGTTCAGAGCTGAAGAACAACTCCTGAGAATGACCTCCCACATATTTTTGCCAAACAAACTTGGCCCACAGATGGTGTTGGCAGGAGCTTTCTCTCGAGTTGACCTCTAGGGAGAGTAGTCTCATTGAAGTCAAAGGACTTGTATCTGTTGCTTATGGTTCATTTAAAAAAAAATGCCTTGCATTAATGTCGTTGAGGGATACCCTCTTGCCCTTACAATCTAAAGGAGCGCAAGTGTGCTGTTTAAATGCAGAGCTATGCTACTTGTACTTGTTATGTTAGTGCTTTTATATAAATTGTCTCATTGTCAAATTATTGCTGTCATTAAAAACAAAAACAAATTAGAAATGGCTTAAATACTTCAGAAAGTCACATTTTTATCATTTGTTTTGATTTGTACACGTGTGACTTTCTGTAGCATTTTTCAGATGACCTCTGCCAGAAATGTAAAAACGTACTAAGAAAATGGAAACTGTGTACAGCAAAAATGCATGCGTTTATGCTGCTTATATCTTGGCAACCTTAACTAACTGCTGTCAATCTGGGTAAGTGGGGAAAATTTAAGTAAAGACTGTATCTGTTAAATTTCTTATCTCAAGTTCAGTCCTTTCCTGCAGTCTGTTAAGGACACTCAGCTTGATTGCCCACTTGTCCCCTTCTCTCACAGCATCTTATTTTTTTTCCCCACTGCTCCCTGTACATGGGGGGGAGAAGGGGGATTGAAAATTCAAAATTTGAAAAGCCATCATCTTTTCCTTTTAGTTAAAAACAAAATAACAGATCATCCTTAAAAGCTCCTCTGTGATGAGTACAGATCAGTGCTATTTAGAATGTGTTAAGCTGATGATCATTATTATCTTATGAGACTTAATATATGAAAATGTTCTGTTCTTTCAGTTAATTGTATACTGTACCACCTACCTCTGCTATATCCCTTTATCCAGCTGTTCCACTTCTCCATAATGCTAGACAAGGAATTTTCTGGGATAAAGATCGTTTTATTTCTTTGTGCGATACTTAGTGTACTACTGGCTGTTAGACATCATTTTTATACAAATAAATAGTTATACTGTTTAAATAATTTGACATAGATATATCTCTTGGATACTTATTTTTCTCATTCCATTACTCAGATTCAGATTATTTTCTATGCAAATTTTCTGTCAAAACAGGTTTTAAACCATTTAGTTTACGCCAGTAATGCAAATTAGCGTAGTGATGGGGCTCTCAGTAGCTTGAAATGGATTGAGTCCATCAGTCATTTTAGGATAAAATTGACCAAACAGATTTATAGGAAGAGTTACAGGACAAATAATTTCTGCAAAATGAGGTGCCTGGGACAACCAATATAAATAAATAGTTGTTTATCATTGCTGGATAGAGCTGATTAATGACATTCCCTCCTAATGCTAAATCTTCTCAGCTTTTTCAGTACGTCAGCAAATGCAAATTTTGTTTTTAAACCAGGCAAATCATAACAGACTAGTGTTTGTTTGTTGGGGTTTTTTGTTTGTTTTTTTAAGCTTGCTCAAAAGGAAATCCTAGCATGTGTTTTCTGACCCAAGCAAGGATGGGGCAAGAAAATCCAAAGATTTGCATTTATACTGATGATTCTTGAACATGTTGATTAACCTTTCTGCCCTTTCATCTGCTTTGTTGAAGCAAACCGAGCAGTTTGCTTGTATGCGGAAGAGTCAGTGCTAGGTATGTCTCAGTTGCAGAGGAGCAGCTCTGAAGAAGAGTCTTTCCAAATCTTACAACACCTGGCTACGAAGGCTGGGTTTGAGTTGAAGCCCTGCTTTGAATGTGCGAGGGCCATATCTCAGATGCATGGACTAGGAACCATCCAGCAGAGTTATGAAGCTCTTGCATCCTATTTTGGATCAACCGGCCAATGTTTGGCATGTATATGCTTTGTGCCCTCTTGTTTAGTAGTTGAAAAGAGTGATGAAGGTAGTCATTGTTAGTGGGCTCAGCTTTGAAACTGTGATTTTTTTTTTTTTTTTAAAGAATGAAAGAATTAACCAGTTCACAGATGCAGCCATTCAACTTAGGGTTTGCTGCAACTTGTTTATTTTTTTACTAGAACAATATAGAAGCTTAAAAAATGAATACACGTGGGTGTTGTGGGCTAGGGTTGATTTACAGTATTGAAAGACTTAGCTGTAAATGAAATGATGGGAAATGCTGCTTCCTTAGGGCTGAGTGTGACTGCAACTTTAGGGCCTTTGGTTATAAACTGTATTGGTAAGCCATCTTCACTTCCCACGCAGTCACAAAGGACACCTATACACTATTAAGCAAGACTGCTGGAGTGTGGTAATTACTGCGCTCCAGCATCAACAAACTTTAGTTAAGGCACCCCCCCCCCCCCAC